CCTCCCCCCCCCCCCAGAGCGAAGGACCTCGCCTCGCCTTCACTTTTCATCTGCGGTGCCCCTCCCCCCCTCTCTCTCTATCTCTATCTCTCCGCGTCGCGAGAGAAGGTGACCGAGAAGGCGGTGAGCCGACTGGCGGAGCTGGTGCCCACGTACAAGGAGAAGCTGCAGGACGACGAGGTGTTCAACAACTTCAAGACGGTGGTGTTGAGGACCAAGAGCTTCGCGACCCTCGAGATGAAGGAAGCGGTCGCCGAGTGGGAAGCGCAGCTCCGCAAGGTGAGACGCGGGTCGTGCCACGCGCCCGCCCGTGTTACTGGCTTGCTGGTCCAGCGTCGTTTTGCTGCGAACTGACTTGCGATATTTCTACCTACGCACGAAGCTGTTCGCCCCAGCGGTGTGCGACTGGGTTGGACGATTTATTGCATGACGCGGAAGTTCCTTCTTCTTGCACCTGTGATAACTCCTTGTAATGTACCACTGGCGTTCGTAGAACAACGATGGATGCATGTGCTCTCTCGCCCAAACTTTATACCAGTACCACGAGGGCGGGGCCGAGGACGAGGACGCCGCGGCGCGGGCAGCACGCGCCGCCGGACGCAAGCGGTCCCGTGGCGGCAAGCGTTCGTCGGTTGCATCTTCATCGAGCGGTGGCGGCGGCGGCGGCAGTCGTACGGGAGGGCGAAGGAAGGAAGCGGCGTCTGACTCCGAGGGTCCCATCGAAGGGACCGAGACCGAGTCGAACACAAAGGCAACAACACAAGCCGGCTCTACCCGTCGCAAGGGAAAGGTGAGGCGACGGCGGGTCCAACAGCAATCCGGAGGCGTCCTATTTCGACACACGTTCAGTTCCGGTAAATTGATGAACGTTGCCCGTGGATAGCAACGAAGGTCACGATTAGAAACTCGGGTTCTCGACGATGCGCATTCAGGGTGGGCGTAGTCTGCGACACAGCAGCCATCACTCACGTTTCGCAGTCTTTCGCCACCCACATCGATTCATAGCCGCGTAACTGAACGGCACATGCACTCGCCATTTTTCTGACGGCGAGACTCATCTCTGTTTTCCGTGTGCGGCTTTGGTCGATCACGTCCTCCAAACGCCGCAGAAGAAGGCGGCACCGGTCCTCAGTAGTGACTTGGAGTCGGACGATGAGGAGGTATTCGAAGGTGACGACGGGAACACCTCGGCGGAGGAGGGTGATGACGACCACGAAGAGGAAGAGGAAGAGAACGAGGTCGACGAGCAAAGCCGGGCCAAGAAGGCGAGCGTTCGCGATCGAGGCAAGGCTAAGGGGACCCGCGGAAGAGGAGTGGCGGCAGTAAAGGAGGAGCAAGAGGAAGAGGAAGAGGAAGCCACATGGGGGAGCGAGGAGGAAGTTTTCGAGAAGAAACCACCCAAGCGAGGAGTCTCGAAGAAGGGCGACAAGAGCCGCGCCAGCAAGGAGAATCGCGCGGAGGGCGGCAAGGCCAGTGGTCGGGGGTCGAGAAGGTCGAGGAACGCCAGCCCTCTAACCTCCAAGAACTGATCGGTGTTCTGCTTTCACGCGATCGCAGTCCGCTACTGCTGTATTGTGGTTTATTGGAGGCTGCGCGCTCACTCTTCACCTGTTGAATACGATAAGGTGGGTTTCTGGAGTGTTTCTGTTGCTGCTCATTCGTAAAAGCAGACGCAGGCATTACACGATACTGTTGATATGTAGTGGATGGCAAGATATAGGATGATACTGTTGCTTTCGTGAACGTGAACTTTCGAGTCCAGCGGGCCCACGAAGTTGAGCCACCATGCGCGTCATCAACTCTGGGTTCGACGTTTGACTGTGAAGTTTTGAAGACTTCGATTTACATTGTCGGAGGCGTGTTGAAAACCGGAAGCGCGCGCTGGCTTGGCGGCAGCGCGTCCTCCTCTGGGAATCTTCTTCAACGGGTGGGTTTATTTTTAACCGTATGAGCATATCGCGACAGGAGGGAGGGGGGGGGGGGGGGGG